AGGAGAGCCGAAGAGTGGACAAACGAGCCTTTTTACGCCCATCTCGCGCCTGATCCCGGCAAGATACATTGCGATGATCACTACGCAAAAGGTGTTCAACAAGAGCTTAGTCGACGAAAACACGCAAATAATCTTCCTGGACGAGGCACACGCCAACCTGATGGATCCAGATGACTGGAAAATATTGACGCAGGGAGGGCTAACCGCCCACGACCGCAAGTATAAGACGTCTGAAAGTAATAAGATGCCCCATGTTTATCACTTCTCAGACTGACCTGGATTTCGGCGAGCACCACAACACCGCCATGGACGCGAGCTTAAGAAAGTCCTTTTTTAAAAGCCTTACCGCGCCGCGTGTGGCAGGAGTTCAAAAATTTCTACGAGACAATGCAATATATTTCATTGTCTGGGCATGTGGTTTCGAAAGAACGCCGGATGAATGAACTACCCCCTCCCATGCCGAGGACCAGTTTACTTCCGGAGGACATTGACGAAGAAGAGAACTAAAGGAAGCGGAGAGAGAAAGAGGAGAAACAGGTGGAGGTGAGCACGACTACAGAATTCAGTGATCAAGAAAGAGAGAGTGAAGACTCGGACGCTGATTCGACCTACTTGGGCCAATGGGAGAAGAGTCTAAAGAACATCGAGCTTCAGCGAGAGCAAGAGCCATGCCACAGCCTCAAACAAAGCCAACTAAATCTACTCGCAGCTGGGGTAAAACGCGCAGTGGAGAACATTAACAACCAAAACCAACGCGCACGAAAACGTGCTCTAGAAGAAACATGTCAACGATGGATCTCGCTCGTTATAATGAGGGAAGACGACGTCCCTTTGCTCCAGTCAGTGAGCAGCGCCTACCATCCAAACATCGAAAGTTCAAGCGAAGAATACTTTGCAAAGAAAACAGAAGAAGAACAACGGATGCTAGAGAAGAAAGCACGAGAGTACTACAACAATGATTGGATTATGGCGAAAAAAATGGAACTTCGAGCCCACCAGTCCAAAGAAGACGCATCGACAGACGAAGATACGAAGCGTGCCCTCTTGTACATGATGGAAGTGACCGCTGAGGCTTTGAAGTTAAAGTTTCAAAAGGAAGAAGTTCCGGGCCTGGCAAAGTTAGTACTTTTGCAGCGGAGAAAGAAAGCCGTAGAAATGCAGTGGGTCTCCCCGACTCAAGCAGCAGCATCTGGTTCCCCCCTCCCTATCCCCGTGAGATCGAAGACGACGAGCAGCAGCTATTCATAACGCCCTCTACAGCACCCAGAGCCCACAGCCTCTAATCCGCTCCGAAAAGCACCTATCAAAATTAAATTCGGAATCTCTGAGAATCGCTTTCTATTGACCGTAGCCGTTTCGTCCAATGCCTGCTTTTAAATACTGTCTTCTTCGGGGGTGAACATCAGACTCTTTTTTCTTGCTGGGAAATCTGTCATTATAAATGCATTCTCCCGCTTTTGTCTCGGGACACCTGAGAGACGCTCGAGTGGTGTTTCTGCGATCGCTTCTCCCTCATCATTTGAGAAAGTGTCAGTTTTGATACCACTTTGATCTTCAGAAGACACAAAATTGCCTGAACTAAGCCTGGAGGGCACGTCTCAGTGATTTCGAGCTCTGATCCCTTTACCCCATGCAATCGTTCCAAATATTCATGTGCTTTGCTCGCCACCTCGCGCGATCGCTGCTTCTGATAGTAAACCCTTGCAACAACAGAGCTATGTTTCTGGTCCTCGGAGATTGTGCTCTGCGCGCGGTCTCCACAATCTGTCGATAACGAGTCGGGTGAACGTATTTGCCCGTTGCATCGAAGACCAGAGTACTCATTAGCTCTCCCAGCTTGTTTTGCCACCCCCCATTTCTTGTCACCAATACAAAGTCGCAGGTCGGTCTGAGTAGGGGGCGAATGTGGTTGGTGTAGCCATCCAAAACTTACATGGTCGTCTCAGTAAGGTAAAGAGAATCGAAGCCATATTTGCCAGCCGTTTTGAACATTTTCTGGTTTATAAAACCACCGTTAGTCTTGGCTTTGTTCACCATTTCCACCTTTAAATACTGATATGTCATGGGGCGCGAGCCCTTGACCTTGATAAATAAATAGACGGCCAAAAATATGGTAGCAAAAAATAAATCTATGGGCAAAACAACACCCGGTTTCTCCTTACATGATTTCATCACGCTCTCGTAGCGCGGCAGGTAGCCCCCCAGGACTTCCAACAGTTCTGCAAGAGTGGCCCAGTGTCCCTTGGCTTCTAAGGCATCGATATCGAGTTCACTGGTCCACTGCAACCGCATCATTTTGGAAACGGTTTTGCGCACCTTTTTCAAGTAAATTTCTGTTGAAGCCAGTCCCCTCAATACTGTTTCCGATGCTCGATTCACTTTTCGATAATCCACCAATTCTGCAATGGCGTCCAATTAGCCTATGCGTCCCGCGTGTCCCAGATTCCAATCTTCCTGCATCGAATCAACAAACTTGAAAGGGAAATTCGGTGAACATAAATTAAAGTCCACAATGTCAAATGTGAGCTCCTCTTCGTCTTCGCAACAAAATTTGAGAAACTTTTATCACTTGCTTACGATCTGTTGTGCTTGTCGATCACTTTTACAGCCCCCCCCCACGGCCAGTGAGCCACGAAAAAAGTTCTTGACAGTTTTGTTTGTAGTATCAAAAGAGGCAATTGCCCTGCTTTTAAGCGGTATAATCTTCTGATCACTGGCTTCACATTTGTCGGTTTCATCGACATTAAAGGTATCGATTGCACACTGTCTGGCTACTGGCTACTGGTCGAAGTAATAGTACCAACTGTGTTTATCTTTACGTGTTTTTTACAGCCTCTTTTCGTAGTGAACCCATCGTGGTTTTTTACAAATTTGCACTGGGCAGTGAAAAAGACCATAACAGTCATCCTCTTCAAGTGAAGTCTCTTTGGTTTAGGCGATGCATTTGCAAACTTTGACCAGTTGACATCCTTGCCTCGTTTGTTCATCTTAAGCATTGGCTTGAAATCGATATCTCTAAAGTATGCACGCACTTATACTAGCAAAAGGGTCACCAAAAGATCATCCTATTCGCCAATGAGATATTTGTTACCCAATCTCTGCCCACACTTGGTTATTCTTGCCCCTTGCCCCATTGTTTTCTTGTCCGTATTTGGTACACAATTAATCAAAAGCAACAAAGACCCAAGCCTGAACTTGCGCGGGCAAGCCCGAACGAGGTTAAACATGTAGCGGGCAAGTCTCGTACTTAACTTGATCGTTGAAGGATATATGTTTTGATAAATTTGTTTTGCAGAGGTGATGGACAGTAGTTTCAGATAGCCTACGATAAACAGGAACTATTGTTCCCTATTTCTTTTTACACTTTGCGCAAAATGGAAAGCTAGTTCCTTTGTCGCAAATTCGGGACCTGTTCCCATTTATACGCTGAATATAACACTCATCTTGAGGAACAAACCATCTCCTCGATTAGGAACAATTGCGTTCCTGTTGGGCATGAATAGGAACAATTTGAACCGAAAGGGAACAAGGCGTTCCGAAAAGCAGTGGATTATGCCAGTAAATAGGAACAATTTGTTCCTTACTGTGTAGAGCGAGAAATTAGATTGGGAACATTTGTTCCCCAATAACTTCGAAAGGAACATGAAGGGAAATCGGAACTGTTGAAAGAGGACCTTTTGTTCCTGAAAGGATAAAAGAGGAACCATTTGTTTCTTTTGACTAAAATGAAAAGGAACTGTGCCTTGATCCAATTTGCTGCTAACAGACCAGATTGTTCCGAAATTTGCCGACCTTTGTTTCTATTGTGCGTTTTATTGTACGTTCCTAGGTAATTTCTAAAGCAATTAAAGGAACAAAAAGCAAAAGCGCGTGGAACACTGCGGTTTTGAAAAAGAGATGTTTCCTCGTGTCGCGTCTCTTAAAATCAAACTTTGAAATTTTCCTCATGTAAAAAACGGCCTGACAATACTAAGGACAAAAATGCAATTGAAAACTACGGTGTTTTAACCTGAAATGTTGCTATCATTACTTTTGAGGAATGTATATGACAATGGTGATTAACAGGAAAATCATCTCGGCTTTCAAGTACCGGTAGATACACTGTAGGGGTCCCCTGTGTGTGTTTGTTTTTTGATTACCTGCTAGAAGTTAAAGACATGTAATTCTGGAAGGTCTCAGCTGTTAAGTAACATCATTGTTTTCGTTGTCACCCCTGGATTCAGAAAGCCTTTATTAAACGCACTTTATCGCATTATTTTTTTTACCTATGTATCATGCTCTACAGTATTTTTAGTTTATCATTAACTAGCTAGACTACTGGATGTAAATTTAATTAAAAGGTTTAGGAGCCGTGTAGCTCTGGCCCTGAGAAAAGCTAATTTTGTTTGCGAAAATATTGGCCTCTAACCAACCCCTTGCTGTATTGCCATGTTTACATTGGTTTGATTTCAAAAATTTACACTGGTTCAAGCATTTCTACATGTTTCTACATCAGAGAATCCGGCAAGAACGAATTAACCTTAACGCGTTTTGTGGGCCTCTGCTTTCAAAGGTTCTATTTCCACCGTTGTATTGTGAACTGCTACTTTTCTTGGGGAAAAATAATTGAGAGCGAAACTGGATCAGCTCAAAACACATGCTACGTTTAGCTAAAGAACACATCTATATACAGTTATAAGACTGAGCACAGACAATAGAATTGTGTAATTGTAGAAATACTACTAGACCTTGTTCAATAAACTGTGTAGTTAAACAACTTTTTAGGGTAGCAAAGGGGATTCATGGTCCCGTTTCACGTACAAATTTTGACAAATTTCACGTATCACGTGGGCAATAACCAATTTTCACGTGTCACGAAATCTGACCTAGTTAAACAAAGGGGCTAAGCCGGAACCAAAACACAGTCAACAATATTAGATCAAAATATTCGCATTTTATTTGACGATCGCAGCTTCTTCCCGCTTCTCCTCTCATTAGATTGTCGGTGGGGTAGCCTCGTCCCCAGGGACGAGGTTGTCAGTGGGGCGATGTTAAAGGGCGTTAACGAGCATCGCGAATGCGGGAAATTCATGTCTCCAGGCATCTGGCGTTCAAACTGAAAACACATCAACGTCCCTGGTGCGATTTCTTTTTACCCCTAGCGACTGTAGCCTGCGTGGCAGGCGCAGGTTAGTTGGGTTTTTACAGTAAGCAGTACACACTGAAAAAAGGAGTTTTTATATCAGATTTTGTTTGAAATCAGTAGAGTACTTCACATTCTAGTAAAAATAAATCAGTGCAACAAATTATAAATGTAAGGCTGCCGATGATTTTAATCTTAGTTTTTTAGCTGATCATGAAAGGCAAATGAGTGTTTGCTACTTCGCTAAAACATAGTTAATTAAAGTGAAATGGTTCGGAAACCCTTTGTTATAGGTTTTTGTTAGCTTTTTTGGACCTGTCCGCAGTAGTATAGGGCGCACCGAATTAACCCCTTTTTGGGGGGGAATCTCATTAAGGTGGGGGGAATAAATTAACGCCAATGACGTCATAACCTTTTGTTTTGATCTCATGAATAAACTGCTGTGGTATCTCATTAACTTGCGGTGGAATCTCATTAAGTATATCCAGTTTGACGGGTTTATCAATGATGTCATGTTCTATTTTTATCTTGTGGCGGTCATGGTTGGTATAACCGGTTTGTCAGGTTTTAGGTTTTAGTTATTTTCGGAAGATGATGTCATATGTATTCCGGGGTACTATGATGTCATAGTTGTTTTGATTGGTTAACCGGAATTTGAAAGACGCTCATTGGCTGTCTCGTTTGACGAAGCATTCTAAACTTGTCTGTGACTTAAAATCACGGAGGCGTAATGTAATTATGCAAGTCCTATTTCCTGCTGCTGTGATTGTCCTAGTTCCGGTTCACTGACTTTTGGCGGGCAAATCGTGCATAGTAATGAGGGCAAAGACAAACTAGCTCTTGTCCTGTTTCCTGCTGCTGTGATTGTCCTTGTTCCGGTTCACTGATTTTTGGCGGGTAAATCGTGTATATTAAAGAGGGCAAAGGCAAACTAGCTCTTTTTTACACTGCCAGCAATGCTTTACTTACCCCTCTCCTTTTCATTTTTTATTTTCCTCCTCCTCCACAATTTTATTATTCTCCTTCCTCAATTTTTTTATTCCCATTTTTCCCTCCACCACCGCCGCATTTCTATTGTTTTCCCTGCACCACCGCCACATTTCTATTGTTTTCCCTCCACCACCACCACCACCACCACCGCCACATTTCTATTGTTTTCCCTCCACCACCACCACCACCACCACCGCCACATTTCCATTGTTTTCCCTCCACCACCACCACCACCACCTCCACATTTCCATTGTTTTCCCTCCACCACCACCACCACCACCGCCACCACATTTCTATTGTTTTCCCTCCACCACCACCACCACCACCACCACCGCCGCCACCACATTTCTATTATTTTCCCTCCACCACCACCACCACCACCGCCACCACATTTCCATTGTTTTCCCTCCACCACCACCACCACCGCCACCACATTTCTATTGTTTTCCCTCCATAACCACCACCACCGCCACCACATTTTTATTGTTTCCCTCCTTGAGTTTGGCCTTTTAGGCATGATTTTGGCCTCTTTGGCCTTTTGAGGGAAACAATAAAAATGTGGTGGCGGTGGTGGTGGTGGTGGAGGGAAAACAATAGAAATGTGGTGGCGGTGGTGGTGGTGGTGGTGGAGGGAAAACAATGGAAATGTGGTGGCGGTGGTGGTGGTGGTGGTGGTGGTGGAGGGAAAACAATGGAAATGTGGTGGCGGTGGTGGTGGTGGTGGTGGTGGTGGAGGGAAAAAATAGAAATAGAAATGGTGGTGGCGGAAAATGAAATGTGGTGGGTGGTGGTGGTGGTGGAGGGAAAACAATAGAAATGTGGTGGTGGTGGTGGTGGTGGTGGTGGGTGGAGGGAAAACAATGGTGGTGGTGGGTGGTGGTGGTGGGTGGTGGTGGTGGTGGTGGTGGAGGAGAACAATAGAAATGTGGTGGCGGTGGTGGTGGTGGTGGTGGAGGGAAAACAATGGAAATGTGGAGGTGGTGGTGGTGGTGGTGGTGGAGGGAAAACAATAGAAATGTGGTGGCGGCGGTGGTGGTGGTGGTGGTGGTGGAGGGAAAACAATAGAAATGTGGTGGCGGTGGTGGTGGTGGTGGTGGAGGGAAAACAATGGAAATGTGGAGGTGGTGGTGGTGGTGGTGGTGGAGGGAAAACAATAGAAATGTGGCGGTGGTGGTGGTGGTGGTGGAGGAGGAAAAACAATGGAAAGGTGGCGGTGGTGGTGGTGGTGGTGGAGGGAAAACAATAGAAATGTGGCGGTGGTGGTGCAGGGAAAACAATAGAAATGTGGCGGTGGTGCAGGGAAAACAATAGAAATGCGGTGGTGGTGGAGGGAAAAATGGGAATAAAAAAATTGAGGAAGGAGAATAATAAAATTGTGGAGGAGGAGGAAAATAAAAAATGAAAAGGAGAGGGGTAAGTAAAGCATTGCTTGCAGTGTAAAAAAGAGCTAGTTTGCCTTTGCCCTCTTTAATATACACGATTTACCCGCCAAAAATCAGTGAACCGGAACAAGGACAATCACAGCAGCAGGAAACAGGACAAGAGCTAGTTTGTCTTTGCCCTCATTACTATGCACGATTTGCCCGCCAAAAGTCAGTGAACCGGAACTAGGACAATCACAGCAGCAGGAAATAGGACTTGCATAATTACATTACGCCTCCGTGATTTTAAGTCACAGACAAGTTTAGAATGCTTCGTCAAACGAGACAGCCAATGAGCGTCTTTCAAATTCCGGTCAACCAATCAAAACAACTATGACATCATAGTACCCCGGAATACATATGACATCATCTTCCGAAAATAACTAAAACCTAAAACCTGACAAACCGATTATACCAACCATGACCGCCACAAGATAAAAATAGAACATGACATCATTGATAAACCCGTCAAACTGGATATACTTAATGAGATTCCACCGCAAGTTCATGAGATACCACAGCAGTTTATTCATGAGATCAAGACAAAAGGTTATGACGTCATTGGCGTTAATTTATTCCACCCCACCTTAATGAGATTCCCCCCCCAAAAAGGGGTTAATTCGGTGCGCCCTATACTACTGTCCGTGCAAAACGTTCCATAGCACTCCTATCATTTTGAAGTTATTGACCAATACAAACATCGCATTAATTTATTCAGCTATAATAATTTGTTAACAGAAAACAAAGGATTGTGCACGGTCAGGGAGCTTCCAACATAACCTACAGCACCATTGTCTTCAACTTTGATGTTTGCCGGCTTTCCTAACCAGTCTCCTCCACTAACTAATTCTCCATGATTGAAACGTTTTAGTTCATGCCCGACCTAGCCTCACGGCTATGAGCAGAGGTTTTTCTCTTGCATGGCGTTTGGCGTTTACGAAGTCGTTCGCGTTGCTTGTTGGTTTGTTTATATAACAAACCAACGACGCGACGCCAACGACTTGTTAACCCAAAATGGGCTTTTTGTGAATTGCTTGGAATAACCAAGTTATCAAATACAAGATTATGAGATTGTAAAGTCAGGATTTTAAAAAATGAGTGTTGTTAACAATAGAACAGTTTAAAAAAGGTTTAACAATTATTCATATTGAAGGCTTATTTTTTGATGACATACATAGATTAAAAGAAATATTATTTTAGGAAGTTTAAGACCGCAACGGGAGTCAACAGGTTTGATAAGCCAAACAACAACTTTGCAAACCCGCAAAGAGGTGTTTGTAAAATCCGGAACAGTAAACGGAACGGAACACTCTGGAACACACCCGGAACACTCACCAGAAGCCCGAATGCCCCCGAAACACCCACTGATCTGCCTGAGAGGCAGGAACCCCCTGGAACACCCAAAAATAAGGAAAGAAAAATCTCAAAGACCAAAAAACTTAACATTTCATCAATGAATCACTATGTTTCAGTCATCTCACTAACTGATGCTGCCCATACCGTTATGGCACGATAAATGCCGAGCGCGATAAAACTCCGCATCAAAACTGATAAATACACTGATGTATATGTAGCAAACATAGACAGGTATAATTCACAAGCCAATTTTCTTACTAATGTCCAATTTGAGCAATATATTCAAATGGACTCTTTGAATTTAAATGCATACACACGAGATATATGCATACGAGCACAAAAACGCATTGAAACAAATCGCCCGATGTAGCAGGTTAGAGAAAACAAAAACAAAAAAAAAAGCTGCGAAAGATGGCTTGAGGTGTTTGTGGGGAAAAAAGGTTTTTAATAAATACATATTGTATATCCTCGCCCATAACTGCACTGGCAAGCCTCATTAAAAAAGATGCCCCTTTTGCCCCTTTTCACGCCTGATCAGACCGGAGATGCCTGTTTTATGGCAGGTAGACTGCAAAACAGTCGGTTTTTTTCTCAAAATCAGTAAAGAGATCGGTAAAGCGTGGCGTAAGAGTCTTACACGCCTCACACGACCTTTTGTTTGACTGCTCGCGCGTACTTGAATACGCAAAAATACTGACTGTTTTGCAGTCTATATGGCAGGAGAAAAGGGCTCACGCCATCTCATTAATCCAGCTTTAATTTGTTTGAAAAGCTTTTTAGCTCACCTCAACAACGCATAATTTATTACAAGCGAGAGTGATGAACCAAAAATTTGTAGGCCCGCGCCTACCGATCTGTGGGTTGGCTACGCCCCTGCTTGTACACGTTAACTTGTTTTCCTCTCGATCTATAGTCCAGTCCAGTCCAGTCCTGCTGTACTGGCAGCTTAAAGCAAATATTATGAAAACGTAATGTATTATTTAAAAGCAACAGAAGCTAGATACTGACAGATCCTTCTAATTAATTATCGCCGAGTTGTTAACAGGAGCCTGAGGTATGTGCGTCTGTGTATTCTTTGTGTTTCGATTTTGACCTTCTTTGTTTAGCTGTGAACATTATTTTTAGAAAATAGTTAATTTTTATCCCGGACTAGTCTCGCTAAGCATACTTTCCCTCAATTTAAAATTCTGTGTACTCTGACTTATCTTCTAGGACGCAAAAACTCGAAGGCGAATCTGATTCGCAGTCTTTAAACGGTTGGCTAATTACGTAACTAAATGGTAACAAAATGCGATTCATTTTAAGACTAAACTTCTGCTTTACAAGAAGAGGAAAAACGGATCCCTTCATTTTCCCTCGAATTTTGCAGGAACATTACCTGCGAAAACTCCGGGCGGTCTTGATGCTTGGAGAATTTATCCAAGCGGGGAAAGCACGCGACCGGAATTTGAAAAAAATACATGTTAAAGCGAATAAAGGCCGGTAAACCGGAATCAATTGTAAAAGGAAATTTATTGAAAATAGAGTCCAAAAAGTTAGTATAGTGAGAATATATGAAAGGAAGAAGGAGGGCGTATTTTTTATTTTTTGTTTGTTTGTTTGTTTGTTTGTTTCATGAAGTATAATAAGTTTAGAAAAGTCAGACGCTCACGAAAAAGTAATACCCCACTGGAAAACCTTTGGAATAAAAATTGAAAACTAAATTGTACAGATTTATAATATAAGTAAGCTCTTCCTGCAGTATGCATAATACACCTGTACCACCGTTGATGTTACACAGCAGTCACGTAAAAATATATCGCTAAAAATTAGCCTCTTTGCCTCGAGTTTGTTAAAAAAGAAAACCTACAGAGTGTGATCAGATAGAAATACTTATAATGCGAACGAGATAGATTTCTTGACCTAAAACACTATTTCTCATTAATGTAAACAGAGTTGATTCTACTTGTATTAAACTTCATGCCACTATTGTTAAAAGTCTAAAAAGCTCGCGACAACGTGTAGAAACAACAATGGCAAAATTTGTTGATAATTGAAGTTCTTGTTGTTTCTTACACATATGCATTTCAGGTCGGGATAACTTTTTCTAGCCTTTTTCAAGTGACTCTGAAGGGGTTCTTCGTTTCATCTTGGGGGGGGGTTGTAGAAAACAAAGACCCTGCCAAGATTCATTGAAAATTGAATACATTGTTTTGTTTTTTCCCGTAAGAGTTCACCGTAACAGGTAGCCCGCGAGTAAGCTCCCCATTTGGGGTGGTTGTGAGAAGTCACGCGAGAGCCGCACGCGATAGGGACGGGAGTGCGTGCGGCCTTTTCCTCCGCATCGCGCGATATCTCGCGATGGGGGAGGAGGAGAGAAGCCAGTGAAGGCATTGAAGGCAATTTTCTCTCCGTCTCCCTCGCCCTCTCCGCCATCGTTTTCTCGTTTAACCTCTCGCGCAGCCGCAAAAAAGGAGACCTTTCCCCCTATAACGTTGAGAACCAAGGCCATAGTTAGAAGGATTTGTAATTTGTATGGAGTCATCAGAGGAAAACGGGGTTAGTATCTCAGAGACTCCTTGCCCTAAAATGCTAGTTTGTTTAGCAAGTAGGCCTTTTCGATGTTTTTTTTTTTTAGAATATCCCGACATATCCCATGATTTCACAAATTTAATTTGTACCGTGCAAAGACTACTGCAATCTGTAACAGAACTTATGAAGATCAGTAAATTCTAAATTCTAATTCTAAAGGGAAGGCTTGATGATAGATTGCGCTAGCATAACTTTGGTATCCGTCTTTACAAGCATAATTTTCATTTTTGCGAAAAAAGCACTACTTGCATAATTTGCCCTTTTGGCTAGTTTTGAAGCACAAATATTGTTATTTATTGATCATACAACCAACTTTTTTGGCCTGAGATCAGTTTTTCGTGCATATTTAAGTAACAAAATCATTTTTTTGCCCGCTTACTGTCACATCCGAGGGGCCTGGGTGACCCAGGACTCCCTCCTCAGGCCTCAATGCAATGCATGCACGTAACAAGCTCGGTTACCCGAAATGGCGTGTTGATTATTGTTTGAGTTTCAATAATATAGTTGTCAGACAGTTTTGTTGTTTCAGTGCTTTATCTCTCATACATTCATCTATCGCTGAAAACTAGAGTTTGCAAGACAGTGATAGCCCAGGGAATTGCAAATAGGATAAACGTGTTTCCTTTTTCCCCTTTGTTGCCTAGTTTTTGAGGACCTAAATTTAAATAAAAAAGATAAATATACGAGCAATGCTAGTAGGAGCCAGGATAAACGGGTGGCACAGGAAAAAAATGAGCTCTTTCAAACATTTGTCCGGACTTGCGCCAACGGGGTCGAAGTCTCAAATGATCTCCTTTTCTTTTTTTTCAGATTTCTTCAAAAATCTGGAAAGCACTTTAGTTTCGAAGCTTTACTGGACCAAGATGGCTATTCCTGTTGTAGATTTTAGCGCCATGGGTTTACAAAACAATAATCAGCCTTGTGCGGAAAATAGCAATGCTGTCAAAGACTTGGCTGAGAAACTCTACAATGCCTTTAGCACGGTTGGATTTGTGTATCTTAAAAACCATGGGATTCCCCAGGAAATGGTGCGTTTTTGT